ATGCCTGATTTTTTTTTTTTAACCTAACAGGATAGTGGCCCCCAACCTTTTGGGCACCAGGGCCTGGTTCTGTGGAAAAAGGTTTTTCTGTGGACCGGAGGGCGAATGGTTTCGTATGCTGCCTGCTTCCAATGAATGGGGCTTTGCTTGCTTGCATGGCTCGGGTTTTGGCATGACGCAGCCCACTGCCGGTCCAGGAATCACGAGTTGGAGACCCTGCAATAGGAGATGGCTTAAATTCCAGCTGATATGGAGCTGACCATCTACTGCAATTAAGCATATACTTTGAGGGGGGAAATTATTCACAAAGGACTTTCTTTCTATTAGTCTATAGAATGCTAAAAGGAGGAGGAGGAGGAGGAGGAGGGTGTTTTCATGTGACTTGGGCCATCCGAGGCAGGGTTAGATATTTGCTATGGTTAGATAGATAGCCTTCATATGTTTCTTCCAAAGCAGTGAAAGGAATCAGTTCGGCATCTCCGCAAGCAAACAAGCAAGCTCTGAGAGCACCAAGGACTCCATGGTTAATATTCAACCCGAAGTGGTATTTCAATAATTTGGTTTCTAATATGCTTCTATTCACCTGGGCAATGTTGACAACAATGTCAACAATAACTCTGTTTGCTCAGGCCCAGCTCCTGCCATGGTTAGTGAAAGGGGCTCAAGTGGATATTTTGCTCCTGAGTGGCTTCAGAAAAAAGGCCCCGGATTCTGAATAAAGATGTTACGGTGTTGTCTTGGTGAAGAGAACATGGTCGGAAATAACACTGGTGTGTGAATTTGTTATCTGTGCAAGCCAAGTTTAAAACCCTTGATTTGCTTTATCTGTGAACCCCGAATAATGCTCCTGGGTATCAATTTGACATGACCTAGGCCCGTGATGGCGAACCTATGGCACGGGTGGCACAGGTGGCACGCGGAGCCATATTGGTGGGCACGCGAGTGTTGCCCTAGCTCAGCTCCAGCGCGCAGGTGCCCCCTGGCCAACTGATTTTCAGGCCTTTCGGTCCCACCAGAAGTTGGGAAACTGGCTGTTTCCGGCCTCCGGAAGGCCTCCAGGGGGATGGGGAAGGCTGTTTTTGCCCTCCCCAGGCTCCTAGAAAGCCTCTGGAGCCTGGGGAGCGGGAAAAATGGGCCTACCGGGCCCACCATGCCATGACGTGCCAAAAGCAGGGGAAAGTGTGTGTGTGGGGCAGGGGTGGGTTCTAAATGTTTTTACTACCGGTTCTGTGGGCGTGGCTTATTTTGAGGGTGTGGCTTGGAGGTCATGTGACTAGGTGGGCGTGGCTAGCTGGTCAGAGTCATTTCTGGAAGGTCCTCACACTTGCGACCAGTCCTCGCACTTACGACCCGACTCATTTGTTTGCTTTTAACACTGATCAGCTGTAGGACGGCCCTTTGAAGCCCCGCGGCAAGAGTTTAAACAGTTTTTTTCCCTCTAGTCATCAGCTGGGACTCAGGAGGCAGCAATAGATTGGGGGTGGGGCCAAATAAAAGGTAAGAATAACGTGGGGGGGTGGGAGGGCGGCGGGGAGAACCGGTTCGGTGACATCATATCGTCACCACTACCGGCTCGGCCGAACCGGACCGAATCGGGAGGAACCCACCACTGGTGTGGGGTCTCGTGCACATGCGCGGGAGGGCCGGGCGCATTGAATTATGGATGTGGGCACATGCACCCGCGACCCCCCCCCGCTTTTGGCGCGTGATGGCAAAAAGATTAGCCATCATTGACCGAGGCTGTATTTATGCACAGTGCACACTAGCCAGTCTATAGAAAAGAAGGGCTGGGATGACATGATAGCGGTATTCCAGTATTTGAGGGGCTGCCACAAGGAGGGGAGGTTATTTAGTTTCCAAAGCACCAGAAGGCAGGACAAGAAACAATGGATGGAGATTAATCAAGGAGAGAAGCAACCTGGAATTAAGGAGAAACTTCCTAACAGTGAGAACAATTTGCTGTTTCCCTGCAGAAGTTGGCTTCCTCACTGGAAGCCTTTAAGAAGAGACTGGACTTGTCTGAAATGGTATAGGGCAGCGATGGCTAACCTTTTCTGGACTGAGTGCCTGAATTGTGCATGCCTGCGTGAATGCACACATGCGAGCCCAAACCCCCATAATGCAATACGTATGTGGCCCCCGCACATGCCCCCCCGCAAATGCATGCATATCCTCCCCACACGCCCCCACCCACGGGGGCCCACCTGCGAGGGAGGGGCATGTGAATGGGCGTGGGCATGCAGGAGGCCATGCATGCATGCCCAGGTGGGTGGGGCACATGTGCAGAGGCCACATGCACATTGAATTTTGGGGGTTCGCATGGCCAAACGCCCTAAATGCAATGTGAGCACACACCTCTGCATGCGCATGCAGCCCTGCCGCATGCACCCTGCCCACATGCATGCCGAACCCCCCCTCAGGTGTCCCACCTCCTCATGCATGCATGCACGGGGCCCCTGCACATGCCCCAACCCCCGCGCATGTGCATAGCCCCCACATGCGTCCTTTCCCCCCCGTGCATGTGCGCACGGTCCCATGCACACACCCTGCCCCTATGCATGCATGGCAGAGACCTACAACCAGCTGGCTGGTGAGAGGCATGTACGCCCATGCGTGGTGGAGCTGAACTGGGATGACAGCTCGCCTGCCCACAGAGAGGACGCTGCGTGCCATCTGTGGCACGCGTGCCATAGGTTCGCCGTCATGGGTATAGGGCTGTGATGGCGAACCTATAGCACGGGTGCCACAGGTGGCACGCAGAGCCATATTGGTGGGCACGCGAGTGTTGCCCTAGCTCAGCTCCAGCGTGCATGTGCGCACTGGCCAACTGATTTCCAGGCCTTCCAGTCCCACTGGAAGTTGGGAAACTAGCTGTTTCTGGCCTCCTGAAGGCCTCCGGGGAGTTGGGGAAGGCTGTTTTTGCCCTCCCCAGGCTCCTAGAAAGGCTCTGGAGCCTGGGGAGGGGGAAAACGGGCCTATCGTGCCATCACGTGCCAAAAGCAGGGGGAAGTGTGTGGGTGGGTCACATGCGCATGCGCGGAAGGGCGGGGCGCATTGAATTATGGATGTGGGCACACGTACCCTCTCCCCCCGCTCCCTCCCCGCTTTTGGCACGCGACGGCAAAAAGGTTAGCCATCACGGGTATAGGATCTCCTGCTTGAGCAAGGAGGTTGGATTAGAAGACCTCCAAAGTCCCTTCCAGCTCTATTTTGATTGATTGAGAGCCAACCACATGGTTACTAGGTGTGTTGTGCAAGTTCAAAAAGTTAATTGGGTTGGTCAGTGCTTCATTTAATAGAAGTAGATTAACTGGGCTTGTGCATAGTATGTTTTGCATTATTAGTGAATGTAAGATAGGATTGCACAGGTTGGCATCCTCCAATGCTTTCAGTACAGATGTAGGAGATGACCAGGCTGAGCCCGAGGGAGCGGTCAAACGCGTCATCAGTCTTGAATCTCTTTGTGCCCACAAGGGATCTATTTCCAGCTCTCCTTGAATTCCGCTGACTTTTACCTACCGCTAATTTGCTTTGGCTGTTAGTAGTTCAGATTCTTGTAGGGAGCTTATCCTTGCAATAAAACTTGACATGCATTTGAATTGCCTGGATTGCCTGATTTTTCCGGCTCTTGACAACAGGGGTCCTTGATTTACAACCACAACTGAACCTGGAATTTTGACCATAGGTTGTGGCCATTGTTAAGTAGGTCACTGTGTGACCTGACTTGATTTTATGACCATTTTTATTGAGTCACCATGCAGGGGTGGGTTCTACTTACCTTTACTACTGGATTGCATCGCTCTCGTGTGCTTTTATGCGCATGCGCAGATCACCTATGATGACGTCTGGGTAAGTGGGCGGAGCCTCCTGCCGGTTTTACTACTGGTTCTTGCAAACCGGTCCGAACTGGGGGCAACCCACCACTGTCACCATGGTGTTAAGCGAACCAGGTGGTCATTAAGTGAATGCAGCACATCCAATGTTGGTTTTTCTGCTGGAAAATGGCAAAAACTATTGCCAACTGCAATCATGGGATTGCGGGATGCCACAACCAGTCATAAATGCCAACCAGTTGTGTAGTGCACAAAATGGGATGCTGTAACTGTGTGTGTATGTGGGGGGAAGCACAGACATAACTGGTGGTAAGTAGCCTTTTGAAGTTTGGTGTAACTTTTCCCAAAGGTGCTTTTCCAAAAGGCAATTGGACTTTCTTGGTTTTTTTTCCTTGAAAACATTTTGCTTCTTATCCAAGAAGCTTCTTCAGTTCTTGGAGGAGAAGCAAAACGTTTTTAAAGGAAAAAAAAAACCCAGTCCAGTTGCCTTTTGAAAAAGCATCTTTGGGAGAACTATGACCTAGGTGATTGAGAATCTAACAGAATAACAGAGTTGGAAGGGACCTTGGAGGTCTTCTAGTCCAACCCCCTGCTCAAGCAGGAAACCCTATACCAGGGCTGTCAAACTCGTGGCCCGCAGGCCGGATGCGTCACGCGCTGGCCACGCCCACACCTGGTTTAGTGAAGGGGAAAAAAGTCCCGATACGTTACTTGACACCACGGGTTTTACACCCCTACCCTATACCATTTTGCAAAAATGATTATCCAATCTTCTTAAAAACTTCCAGTGTTGGAGCATTCACAACTTCTGGAGGCAACTTGTTCCACTGATTAATTGTTCTAACTGTCAGGAAATTTCTCCTTAGTTTTAGGTGGCTTCTCTCTTTGCTCCAGATGTTTCCACAGACATCTGTTGCAACTTTGAACTGGTCGTAAGTCGAGGACTAACTGGACACGGAACTTGCTGCGGGAACCGAAGTCTAATAAATGTCACAGGTACTAGGCTGGGAAAGACTTTGATGAATTAGCCAGTAAGTAAAAGTTTATTCCCCTGGCATCAGAATGGGGAATTTAGTCCAATAAAAAGAAGAAGAAAAAAACACTGGGCTCTTAGGAGAGAGAAGGAACAAAGCTTTGCTTTGGCAGAAGAGAGAAAAAAAGACAACCTTAGAGACATTATTTATTTTTAAAATGTGCAATTATTGCATTTACCTCCTTCCTCCAGCCCCTGTGCTGGAACAGGTAGTCCTTAACTTAATGACCACGACTGAGCTCAACATTTCTGTGGCTAAGCGAGACATTTTGTGAAGTGAATTTTGCCCTGTTTTTACCACCTTTCTTTCCACTGTTGTTAAGCGAATCGCTGCAGTTAAGATAGTTAACATGGTTGTTAAGTGAACCTGCCTTCCCCCTTGACTTTGCTTGTCAGAAGGTCGCAAAAGGAGATCGCATGACACTGCAACCATCATAACTATGAGTCAGTGTGAATTTTGGGGGACCATGGGGGGGATGCTGCAACGGTCGTAAGTGTGAAAGACGATCACAAAGACACTTTTTTCAATGCCATTGTATCTTCGAACGGTCACTAAACGGTCGTCACTGTTGTAAGTCAAGGACTACCTGTATACTCTGTGTATATGTGTGTGTGCATGAAAAAGAGAGAGAGAGAGGGAGGGAGGGAGGGAGAGAAAGAGAGGAGAGAAAGAGAGTGAGACTGTATAATTCTTCTTTCTTCTATTCTTGGGGATGGTTAAGGAAGATCTGCCACTGTTTTCTTTGGAGCAGGCCCAGTTGGAAGCTCTTCCTTCTCTTTCATTTTTTCGTACATCAGAATTCTGCAGAAAAAAAAAATAGGAATTCACAAAAGGTGCCCTTCGTTTTCCCCGAGTCTCTTCCTCTTCGAAACATGTTTGTTACAACTTCATTACAAAAGGAATAATAGGTGTGTGTGTGTGTTTAAATAACTGTGTGTGTTTAAATAGCATCCGAGAATCGTTGCTAACCTATTTACCTCAGAGGTCTATCCACAGATTCCTATCTTCTGCAGAGGCCTCTTTTTAAAACCTGCTCTACTTTTGGCCAGTTCAAATGCTAGCTTGGTAGAAATCATGCCAACTTGAGAAATGACTGGGCCGCTGAACTACAACGACCATCAGTCCTAGCCATCATGATCCACGGTGAGGGATAATAACAGAATAGCAGAGTTGGGACATTGGAGATCTTCTACTCCAACCCCCTCTCAGCTCTATCTCTCGAGTCAAACGAACCCAACAAGAAAACGCAGCAGGCATTTAGATGAGAGGCAATGCTGGCCGTGACATCAAAAGGACGCTGAGCTCAAACGTTTCAAAACTGGCGCTACGAGCGTTCACCTCGTAGCGCCTTTTATAACTCTAGGTTTATTATCCCTCCCTTCCGTAGTTTAGTGTAATTGCGCAGATGCCCTCAGCTGGCTTGCTTCTATTCTGGCCCCTCCTCTCCGGGTTGTCAGCTTCCCAGCAGTGTTCTCCGGCGGCTGTAGTGCGTCTTGGCTTCGTTTGCGCGCCCCATTCTGTCCGATTTCTGTCCACAGCACCCCAGTCCCTGTCCTAACCCTGGCGCTCGCCAGCCCCAGGGTCGACCACCTGCCTACCGTGCCACCACCACCTATTATGTGCATATCTATATTTCCTAATATGTTTCTCCCGACTTCGCCATCCCAGCCACGTATTGTCGAGCAGGATTTCGGGCTCGACACCCCCTGCTCAAGCAGGAGACCCTATACCCGTGATGGCGAACCTATGGCATGTGAGCCATCGCCCAGCTCAGATCCACGGCGCATGTGTGTGCGCCTCTCGCTGGCCAGCTGGTCTTTGGGTCTCTGCCACGCATGCGCGGGGGGCGGAGTGCACATGGGGGGGCACATACTCATGCATGGGGGCGCATGCATGGGGGTGCATGTGGGGTATGTGTGCATGTGGGGGAGACAGGGCGCATACAGGGGGCGCACACGCATTGTATTTTGGGGGTTTGAGTGTGGGTGTGTGTCACTGCGTTATGTGTTTGTCAGCCGAGCGTCCATTCTGAGCGTTACGGTAGCCTGCCAGAGAACTTTATCATATATCTATAGCAACAGAGATAAGACTAGTCTTGTGAAACTTTAAGCTACTGCGCATGTCTACATTCTTTCTTTTCTAACTTCCTGATTTATTACTTCCTCTGTTCGTCTGTGTGATAAGCTGCCAGTAAAGATGTAGTTAGCTAGTTTTTTCTATTTTTATAATAAAATCTTTATTAGAATATATATATATATTTCGGTTTTTCTTTCTTTAAAGTATACAGCATGGAAAACAAGATCCATCCGTCTCTAATTAAGTGCAATTACCCCAGGGGGAAAACGAGGCTGATTTACGCTTCGACAGTGTGTGCTTTCGCTCTTTGGGCACTCGGTCCAGAAAATGTTAGCCATCAGTGCTCTATACCATTTCAAACAAATGGCTGTCCAATCTCTTCTTAAAAACCTTCAGTGATGAAACACCTACAATTTCTGAAGGAAAGCCATTCCACTGGTTAATTGTTCTCACTGTCTTGAAATTTCTTAAATTCTAGGTTGCTTCTTTCCTTGATGGTTTCCATCCAATGCTTCTTCTCCTGCCTCTGGTGCTTTGGAAAATAGGTTGACCCCCTCTTCTTTATGGTAGCCCCTCAAATACTAGAACACTGCTATCATGTCATGCTTAGACCTTCTTTTCACTGGATTAGACAAACCTGATTCCTGCAACCATTCTTCATATTAGCCTCCAGCCCCCTAATCATCTTTGTTGCTCTTCTCTGCACTCTTTCCCAGTTCCCAATATCTTTTTTATATTGTGGCAATCAAAACTGGATGCAGTATTCTAAGCAGTGGTGGGTTCCTCCCGGTTCAGTCCAGTTCGGCCAAGCCGGTAGCGGTGACGATATGATGTCACCGAACCGGTTCTCCCCCCTGCCCTCCCACCCCCCACCCCCCACATTATTCTTATCTTTTATTTGGTCCCACCCCCAATCTGTTGCTGCCTCCTGAGTCCCAGCTGATGACTAGAGGGAAAAAAACTGTTTAAACTCTTGCCACGGGGCTTCAAAGGGCCATCCTACAGCTGATCGGTGTTAAAAGCAAACAAATGAGTCGGGTCGTAAGTGCGAGGACTGGTCGTAAGTGCGAGGACCTTCCAGAAATGACTCTGACCAGCTAGCCATACCCACCTAGTCACATGACCTCCAAGCCACACCCACAAAATAAGCCACGCCCACAGAACCGGTAGTAAAAAAATTTAGAACCCACCCCTGTGCAGCACACTGCTGGCTCATATTTAAGTTACTGCTATTGAGCCAGGTTTTACTTATTCTATACCTGTACATTTGGTATTTCTTGCCTTAATGTGAAACATTACTTTTCTCATCTTTGAATTTCATTTTGTTACGTAGGGCCCAGTATGTCAAGATCCTTCTGGATCATGAACCTATCTTTTGGGGTGTTGGCTATTCCTACCAGCTTGGTATTGTCTGCAAGTTTGATGAGTTTCTCATCTAAATAGTTTATGTAATGGGCCTACAACAGAACCTTGGGGTACCCCACTGCTTACTTCCCTCTACGTAGACGTGGTTTCATTAAGGACTACACATTGAGTGTGGTTTGTCAGCCAGTTACAAATCCATCTGGTGGTGATGCTGTCTATCCCACTTTCTAACTTAATAAGAAGCATCGGTAGATTGTGGTCTACTTTGTCAAATGCCTTACTGAAATCCAAATATACAATGTTCATAGGACTTCTCTGGTCCCCTAGTTTATTGCATATTGTAAACCGCCCAGAGTTACCTTGTGGTAAAATGAGAGGTTAATACATTTAATAAATAAATACTTACATTTTAAGGATAGCTGATCGCTTTCCCAGCATCATAGCGACAAAGTCACGGTAATTGATGGTTTCACTCATCCCTCCTGTGACTTCAGTGATCATTTTTTTTCAGTTCTAGGTGGGTCTTGGCTGCACCCAACTTTTCCAACATCCGCTTCAGAGCCATGATATCTTCAAGGAACAGGAGGAACAAGAATGAACCACAATAAAAAGGAAGATTAAATGGCATACAAGACACACCAGATTCTAAGAAAATATAGGATAGGATAAGATGGATAGGATAGGATAGGATAGGATAGGATAGGATAGGATAGGATAGATAGGAGACGATACAATACGATACAATTTATTTGGCCAAGTGTGATTAGACACACAAGGAATTTGTCTCAGATGCAGAAGCTCCCAGTGTACATACAAAACAACAGAGTAATAATCAACAATTATTGATAATAATCAACAATTATTATTGATAATAATCAACAATTATTATTGATAATAATCAATGATAATAATAATCAATGACACCAATGAGGGGATAGAGAAGATGAAAAGAATAATAATACTACAGCCAGACAAAATAGATATAAAACGGTACTGTGGGGATTAGGTGTTCATCAGAGTGATGGCATGAGAGAAAAAAACCGCCCCTGTGACTAGTTGTTTTGGCACATAATGCCCTATAGTGGAGGGGGGGGGCCACGGTGGCTCACGTGGTGAGATGCTGGGCCTGCGCACCGCTTAGGTTGGTGGCTCGATTCCCGTGAGTGAATAAACTGTGTAGGCAATGGTGAAATTCAAATTTTTTTTACTACCAGTTTTGTGGGAGTGGTGTGGCTTGGTGGGCGTGCCAGGGGAAGGAAACTGCAAAATCTCCATTCCCACCCCACTCTGGGGCCAGCCAGAGGTGGTATTTGCTGGTTCTCCGAACTACTCAAAATTTCCGCTACTGGTTCTCCAGAACCTGTCAGAATCTGCTGGATTTTACCCCTGCATGTAGGGACAAGAAAGGAGCCTCCCCCAATTGCTTACTGGCATTCAGGTGTGCCACGGGTAAAAGATAACACCACTCGAAAAAAATTAATTTCACAGCTAGCCCCCTCGGTGAACCCTGGCTAACACGTGCTATACACTAAAAAAAAACCCAAAACAACAACCCTATAGCAGCATCCCAAGGAGAGGAATTGAAACAGGTTATGTCCAGGACCATGGTTTATGTCCATGACTATGGTGAGTCACTTAACGACCGCAGCAAAAAAAGTCATAAAATTGGGTCAGACACGTGATGATCCACTTAACAATCAGCAAGACTTAACAACTGTAATTCTGGGCTTAGTTACCATCATAAGACGAGGACTATTGATAAATTTTACAAATTGGTTGAACTAATATGCAAGCTCCACCTAGATCAGGGGTGTCAAACTAAAGGCTCAGATCTGGCCTGCAGGGCTGCCCTGGAAACAGTGACGGACTGGCCCGCAGTGCCTCTGCCAGTGGAAATGGAGTTCGGAGGGTTGCAAGATACCGTTCCAGCCAAAATCAGAGCTTGTAAGGGCCATGCGCGCCTCCTGAGCTCTGTTATCACTGGCAAAAAGTTGCAGGAGGCTGTCCCAGCCGAAAACGGAGCTCGGGAGCCCATTTTCGCTGGCAGAGTGCTCAGGCCCCCACAGGCGCCCCTGACATGAGTGACCCCGAGCTGGCCATGCTCACCTGCCCACCCACCCCCCTCCGAGGTCAAACACAACCCTGATGTGGCCCTCAATGAAATTGAGATCCCTGACCTAGAGGAATTGAGTCCAAATGGCAGCTTGGTTTCCCAGCACAGCTTGTGTTTTCAAACATTTTCATCCAAATGAGGTCTAAAAAGAATGGCAAATTAAGTCCCAACTCTCACGAATCAATAAAGTGTGACTAGGCCGTAAGGCAAGAACTGGATTTGTTAATTTCCAATATGGGGAACACATGCAAGGGAAGCTGTTTATTCAGCACACTGGAGAATGAAGTTAGTCAAACTAATATATATATGTTTTCTGAGGTTTTCGCGGGTGTTTGTATGTAGGTCTTTGGTTATTCGGGTTTTCTCCCGCGTAAAATTGGAAGTGTCTTGGCGACGTTTCGACGAAGTCTCATTCGTCATCTTCAGGCTGGTGTTTTCGGCTTTGTGCTTCTAGGAGCAATGTGTGATCGCAGCTGTTTCTTCCTTTTAACTGCCAGTGAGGGTGTGAACTGATTGGGTGGGAGCATGGCTGTGTTCTGATTGGATGGAGGTGTGTTTTGATTGGTTGGGGGCTTGGCTGTGCTCTGATTGGATGAGGGGTTGGCTGTGCTCTGATTGGCTGGGGGTGGACAACCACACAGGATGTCACCACCACACATCCACGCAAAAAGCAAACTCAAACCCACACCGATGATGAGGCACGACCACAAACCAGACCACAGTCGCATCATTAGCCACTTTAAACCCCTCCAATCCATACATGAAGCAAACTGACACCCACAATGAAGATGTGGCATGACCACGAACGTGAAACCAAACAACAGCAACGCAGCTCACCCACTCAAATCCCCCTGCAACTCAGACTAACCCGAGCACAACCAAGCCCCCACCCAAACAGAACACACCCCCATCCAATCAGAGCATAAAAATAACTTATGATTTGTTTTCACACTTACGATCATTGCGGCATTCCCCATGGTCATGTGATCAAAATTTGGATACCTGGCAACTGGCCTGCACCTATGGTGGTTGTAGTGTCCTGGGGTCACAATCAACTTTTATAATAATAAAATGACATAATAACATTGGTTGGTATGGTGGGCTTTGGGCTGCCCCTTTCCTTTGTGTATACAGCCTTCCAGAGTTGTTGCATACGAGATGGGCAGCAAATAAAATTTGTAAACAAACAAAGAAACACACACAGCTACATGAGCAATGCCCCTCACACCTTTCATTTTAGCCCTCAACTCTGTGAAATTAGCTCGAAAACCATCCAATTTCCATGGGTGACAGTGGATTTAAAATCTGGGTCTCCCCAGTCCTAAACCCGCATTTTAATCTCTGTGCTACAAATTTATGAACACTTAATATTTTCACATTTTTCCTGACAATTAGAACAATGAATCAGTGAAACAACTTGCCTCTAGAAGTTGCGAATGCTCCAACACTGGAAGATTTTAAGAAGAAATTGGACAACCATTTGTCTGAAGTGATGTAGGGTTTCCTGCCTAAACTGGGGGTTGGACTAGAAGACCTCCAAGGTCCCTTCCAACTCTGTTATTCTACTCTACTCTACTCTACTCTACTCTACTCTACTCTACTCTACTCTATTCTACTCTACTCTACTCTATTCAAATGGTATTTTTTTTGTAGGCCCTTTTTCCCCCAGGCCTATCCAATTTTTGCCTTGTTAATCTTAACTTCTGGTTTGTTTGGTTTTTTTGACTGATTTTAATTCTTTGGTTTTTATTTTGTTAACCTTTGTAACAAAATAGTTTTCTTGCTGACTTTTGTAATTTAAGCAACTTGGCTTTTGAAAGCAAGATGTTTTGGGGTGGGGTGTTTTTTTTGCTTTTTCTCTTTAACTGCATGATGCTTGCAGGTCTCTTCATGTATATAAATGCAAAATAAATTTCTATAATGTTGCCAAAAAAAAAAATGACATGGATACAAACATGGAAGACATGAGGAATGAAGCTCGACATGGAGGAAACATGGTATTTTATTAGTAACAAGAACGATGGATAAAGCAGGATATTTGAGGACTTCATTCTTTTAATTTTTTAAAAATAAGCTTTATTAGAATTTTGAAAACAAAATAAAAAACTAACAAAAAGTAATACTTAGAATGAAAATAGGGGAAAAAAGAAAAAGAATAAAGACAAGAATGCAAAAATCAAAGAATTATAAAGAAACGGCTTCTGGTTTTTTAATAGCAGTTATAAGTATAAATATAAATTAACCTGTTCTTTTAAAATTGTGATAGAAATGGATTTGATCCAACCCCTATTTCCTGAATTAAGGTTTCGATTAGAATACAGCATTCTAATTCTACACCTCCAGATTTAGCAACATAGCAGACCAAAATGCCTATTCATACGTATATTTTTTAATGAGTTTAGAAATGTTTAAGAGCACATATGTTTGACTATACTTTAAATATTTAAAAACTGAAGATGTAAAGGCTGTTTTTACAAAACAGCAGATTGATGAAGAAATAATATCAAATGGAAATTGCAAAGATTGACCAGTTCGTTTTTATGCTAATTTTCTAAATCTACATTTTTATGGATGAGGTGAAAATTTCATTTTTAAACTGGTGATTAATTTTAAATATCTTGGCTGAGAATTGGAGGATTTGTAGGGGAGGGTAAGAGAGAAAACAATCTTAGCATATTTCTGTGTGGCTATTTATGGTCTGGATTGTTCACGGAACAGAAAGATTATGGTGCATATAGAATAATATTAGTATTAGTATGTATCTTATCTATTGGTAACACTTACCTATATCACCTTGTGCATTGAGATCAAATTCCATGTACTTCTCTGCAAAAGAAAGCAGGTCAGCAGCACATTATAAGTCTATCCACTCCATCATAAATTCCAATTTTGAGGAATTGGGATACCAGGCATAAGAAACCAGGAGCCAGGATAGAATTCAAAAGCGATGTGAGCTTATTCCATATTGCCTATACACAAGAATCTGATCTACTAATGGTCAGTGCAAAACAGCACCAGATAAGAGTCAACTGACTTCATGAGGTCTGTGGGTATGGATTTAGGTCATTTTCAGGGGCATAAGGATTCCAGACTGATGATCCAGACTGGCATAGCCTATTCATCTCCTACATGGGGAGTGCCCCAAAGATGCTTTTCTAAAAGGCAACTGGACTTTCTTGGTTTTTTTTTCTTTGAAAAGGTTTCACTTCTCATCCAGGAAGTTTCTTCAGTTCTAACTGAATGGTGGGGAATGGAAAGATTTATATTCTTTTAAAAAAAAAAAATTAAAAGTTTTAAAAATACAAATAATACAAACCTAGTACATATACATCTAAATACAAAAAAAAAGAAAGAAAAAAGAAAAAGGAAAAAAAATATTACAGTGCCCCCCTGCCCCCCGGAGATCATTTCCCCCCTTATATTTCTTCGTCTATAACAACTAAAAGATATATAAAATATTCCAATTGTTCCCTTATCCCTTCCAAAACAACATATATTCTTGAGTAGATTTATTCTCTTTGCCTTCCACCGACACTGATTTTATAAAATCCCGCCATAATTCATTATAATTGTTTGCTTTGATCATCCCATTTTTAAAATTTAATTTCTGTTGTTAATTTATCATTTGTTGCCATACTCCATTATACAGAAGGATTTATATTCTTTGCAGTCATCTGATTGTTAGTTCTCTCAGAATCATTGAGGTCATTTGGAGGTTTATCTGTATCCTCAGGGTCCCCTGAGTCAGAATGTGAGTGGAGCAGGGGTGAAATCCAAAATTTTTTCCTACCAGTTCTGTGGGCGTGGCTTGGTGGCGGTGGCAGGGGAAGGATATTGCGAAATCTCCATTCCCACCCCACTCCAGGGGAAGGATACTGCAAAATCCCCATTCCCTCTCTTCCTGGGGGAAGAATACTGCAAAATCTCCATTCCCACCCCACTCGGGGGCCAGCCAGAGGTGGTATTTGCCGGTTCTCCAAACTACTCAAAATTTCTGCTACCAGTTCTCCAGAACCTGTTAGAACCTGCTGGATTTCACCCCTGGTGTGGAGCCTTCTTGGGACTGCTGAAAGGACTGCATTGTAGACAGGAGTTAGGTGGTGGCGTACCCCTCCCTCCCTCTGTTAAAAGAGGATTTTTCGATTTTAACATAGATGGCCTCTTGGACCCCTCTTTCTGACCTTCTCATCATTGAAGAAATTTGGAGTAGATCTGTTCTATTCTGCCAAACTGCAATATCCCATCCCACCCTTTCCATTACTTCAGGTCCGTCACCAATGTCACTCACTTTTAAATAGTTCTAGTTTTTCAGCGTGGTCTTCATCTGTGCTGTATTTGGGGCTCTCCATGAATTCCTGTAGAAGACCGGGGAGAAAAAAAAGAGTTTATAAGAGTGGGGTACAACACACAGAAAGCAAAGAGGCAGTTTGAGGGTGAGAATAGCATTCAATATGTCCTAATGGGAAAATGGCGGCCTATCTTAAGACCCATCCGGTATTTGAGCGGCTGCCACAAAGAGAAGGGGGAGTCAACTCATTTTCCCGAGCACCAGAGGGCAGGACAAAAAATAATGGATGGGAACTAATCAAGGAGGGAAGCAATCTGGAATTAAGGAGAAACTTCCTAACAGGGAGGACAATTAACTACTGGAACAAGTTGTCTTCAGAAATTGTGGGCATTTCATCACTGGAGGTTTTTAAGAAGAGACTGGACAATCACTTGTCTGAAATGGTATAGGCTGGTCTCCTGCTTGAGCAGAGGGTTGGAATAGGAGACCTCCAAGGTCTCTTCCAGCTTTATTCTGATGGATTGAACCTGTTAAGACCATGAAGACCCAATTCCATTCATACTTAATTGGGAGTAATTTTGATTTAATAGTACTCTGATACAGTGTTTCTCAACCTTGGCAGCTTTAAGCTGTGTGGACTTCAACTCCCAGAATTCCCCAGCCAGCATGACTCCCAGAATTCTGGGAATTGATATCCACAAAGCTTAAAGCTGCCAAGGCTGAGAAATGTTGCTTTAGTAGATGCAAAAGATATGGTGGGTTGGGTATGTTTCTTAGGCAAGACCACCCTCTTTGCATTCTGAATGAAGTGGAAAAAATACTGAGTAAAAGTTGTAATATGGTGATTTAAATGTGTTTTTCTGCTCCAAAATGGCATGGATTCCTTTTACTTACCTCGGATTAAGGCTGAATTATTGATTTCCCCATCAAAGTTTCCATTAGACCCATTAGCTTTTCATACGAAGAGGAAGGGATCAGCTTCCAGATTTTCAAAGATATCTCGAGTGTATATATTTTGGATATTAGTAGCTCGGGTTGATAGTTATATTGTTGGTTTGAGTTCCGAGCTTGGCGATTTGGTTGCAAACAACGCAAAGCGCACTGAAGACGACTCCTTGAATGGGGACAAAACGTTTGCAACCAAATCGCTAACCTCGGAACTCAAGCCAACAACATATTTTGACTTTTATTATTAAGCAGAACAGGAGTAATTTTGACTACCAACCTGTAGGGGTTTAGCCAGTAGTGGGATTCAGCCAGTTCGCAACACTTCGGGAGAACCGGTTGTTAACTTTCTGAGCAGTTCGGCAAACTGGTTGTTGGAAGAAATCATTAGGGCAGAGAACCGGTTGTTAAATTATTTGAATCCTACCACTGGCTAAACCCAGTGGTGGGATTCAAGTAATTTAACAACCGGTTCTCTGCCCTAATGACTGGCTTGGTGGGCGTGGCCAGGGGCTGTGACAGGCAGCACTCAGCCTCCCTGCAGCCTCCTGGGAGCAAAAACGGGCCATGGGTGGGGCACCACACACCCCCACGCCCTATTTTGGGCCTAGTAGGCCTCCTTGCAGCCTCCTGGGAGCAAAAATGGACCAAGGGGGTGTGTGTGTGCCCCCCCCCCCCGCGCCCTGTTTTGAGCCTAGTAGGCCTTCCTGCACTTACCTGGGAGCCAAAACAGGGTGCGTGGGGACTCCAGGAAGGGGTGAGGCAGGAAAGGGCAGGGCCAGCCAGCAATTTAACAATTGGTTCACCCGAACCGGTTGAATCTCACCACTGGGTTTAGCTAAGAAAGCTATTATTTGATTCCTTTGAAAATATGGCGAGTGCTTGGTTCTAATTTCATTCAGTTATTTTTCTTGATTTAATTACAGCAAGATATATTGGAACGACTTTGGGGTTAAGTCTTATATTTGATCCCAATTCCCATAAGGACCTCGATCCTTTGTGATTACAGTAATTTAAGATTGGCAGATAAAAGACTTTTTGGGGAGAACCTAGGCAGGAAAAAGATATTAATATTTAACTCAACTGGTCATTAAAAATTCTTTTAAAGTTTTGAGAGGCTTCAGAAAGAATTTAAAAATGGCCAGTCACAATATATCCAATTAAAACATTGTTGATATTCCAATGCAGCCGGCTGCATTGCCAGCTGCTGAAATCACTGGCTGTGTTACAAAAGATCTTGGTGCAGGGGTGAAATCCTTGGTGCAGGGGAGAAATCTGACAGGTTCTGGAGAACCGGTAGCGGAAAATTTGAGCAGTTTGGAGAACCGGCAAATACCACCTCTGGCTGGTCCCAGAGTGGGGTGGGCATGGAGATTTTGCAATATCCTTCCCCTGGAGTGGGGTGGGAATGAGGATTTTGCAGTATCCTTCCCCTGCCATGCCCGCCACGCCACGCCACACCCACCAAACCACGCCCACAGAACTGGTAGAGAAAAATTTTGGATTTCACCCCTGTCTTGGTGGTATCTAAATGTATAGGGAGGGTCATCTGGGGCAGAAGGTGGTGGGGGGTCTAGGACAACTCATCATGGCCAATTTGCCACAGCCAACTCACCCAGGTACAACAGTTACTCCCATATCGAAGAAATGGTGGAATAAAATCACTAAAGAAAGGATGCAAAAGGAAGGATACAATGAAATGCGAATGGCAAACATTAAAGTTGTTTAGTTATTTTAAATAATTAAATTGAATTGTTGAATTGTCTTGCAGTATGTTGTCCCATGGTGAATTGGCTGCAGTGAGTTGTCCCATTTCGGGGGCAGGGAGTTCGAACAAGTAAAAATGGAGAGTGTGATCATATAATGAAAGTATTGAGGCTTGAATAACCTGGTCACAGCTGCCATCTTAAATTTTTGACCTCTTTGAATATAAAATTGCATTATTATATACATTAAGATGTATCTTGTTCTATTTTAATGTTAATCTCTCGCCTGCCTGCCTGCCTACCTACCTACCTATCTATCTATCTATCCACCCATCTCTCTCTCTCTCTTTCTCTCTCTCTCCACCTATCCACCTACCCATCCATCCATCCATCCATCCATCCATGCATCCATACACCCACCCATCCACCTACCTACCTACCTACCTACCTACCCATCTATCTATCTATACATCCATGCATGCATCCATGCATGCATGCATCCATCCATCCATCCATCCATCCATCCATCCATCCATCCATCCATCCACCCACCCATCTATCCATCTATCTATCCATCCATGCATCCATGCATCCCTCCCTCCCTCCCTCCCTCCCTCCCTCCCTCCATCCACCCACCCACCTATCCATCTATCTATACATCCATGAATCCATCCATCCATGCATCCATACACCCACCCATCCACTTACCTACCTATCCATCTATCTATCTATACATCCATGCATCCATCCATGCATCCATGCATCCATCCATCCATCCACTCACCCACCCACCCACCTACCTACCCACCTACCTATCCATCTATCTATACATCCATGCATCCATCCATGTATCCATACACCCACCCACCTGCCCACCTACCTACCTACCTACTTATCCATCTATCTATATATCTATACATGCATCCATCCATCCATACACTCGTCTATCCATCCACCCACCCTCCTACCTGTCTATCTATATATCCATCCACCCACCCACCCACCCATCCACCCATCCATCCATCCATCTACTCACCCACCCACCTACCTACCCACCTACCTATTTATCTATCTATACATCCATGCATCCACCCACCTACCTATCTGTCTATCTATCCATCCACCCGTCCATCCATCCATTCACCCACCCACCCACTCATTCATCTATCCATCCATGCATCCATCCATGCACCCACCCACCTACCTACCTATCTACCTACCTACCTACCTATCCATCTATCTAATTTATCTATCTGATCATCTTCCTTGTACTTTAGCAAGTGAAACAATCAAAATATTATTAGGAAATCAGATTGAAGTGGGCTGTCATGACAAAATTATTTTTACTCTTTTTAACAAGTATCATTGCTATTTTCTGCTGATGTTCTTGGTGATGGTGAACATAGATGAGCTATTTTCAAGGCAGATGCATTTCTGAATATATCCCAACTTTTCCAGTGAAGGCCGTACATTAAAGTTCTGTCATTGCTGAAGGCGATGGGGAATCTGGGAAGGAAAACTCTCTGAAATGATGACTGACCCAACAGCTCACAGGTTGTCTAGTGTTATAATCTATTTTAGCCACTAGGGGGGCAGATAAACTATAAGGTTAGGGAGCATGTTGGGCCCGGGGCAAACTAGAATTTCAACAGGGTTGGGTGGGTGAGACTTGGTTTTATTGCTAGCATACATCTTTGATAATAAAAAGTTACTTATTTATTTTGTGGAAAAATGTTGCAGTTGAAGAGCCAGTCTTTCTAATGCTGGAGGAAAGACATTTCATAGACACGTAGGCCTGAGTACATCTTTTTTTTTTTTGGCAGTTTTTTGCTCTGATATTTGTCACCCAAAAAGTTAAACAGTGTGTCCTTCTTTCCCTCCTCAGTCCTCCTTTCCAATTGTCCATATCTCCTTTGACTTGTTGGAAAAGCTATTGCCAGATTCCTCCTGATTTTCAGCCCCCATGGGTGACTTTCAGGGGTGGGCTTCAAAAATTTTAGCAAGGGGTTCTCTGCCTGGTTGCTGGGTGGGCGTGGCCATGGTGGGCGTAGCCTGGTCAGCCTCCTGCACCATGGCGGTGAGGGGGGGGCGTTTTTGCCCTCCCCGGGCTCCGGAGGCTTTCCTCGAGCCTCCTGGAGGGCAAAAACGGCCTCCCCAGGCTCCAGAGGCCCTGCGCTTACAGGCCCATTTCCAGCCAACCTGAACTTCCGGTAGGCCTGTTTTTCACCCTCCCCAAGCCTCCGCACTTACCTGCATCCAAAACGGGCCACATGGGGACTCCTAGGAGGGGCAGGGCAGGGTGGGCGGGGCCAGCCAGGAGTGGGATTTGGGGGTTCTCTGAACTTGTCATAAGTAAATGCCTTATTCTATAACAAGAGATATGTATATATGTACAGGATATTAAGAGTTAATTTAT